CCCCACCTGCCCCAGCAGCCCTCCCCCGCGCGCCGCGAGCACGGCCTGAGCCCCGGAGGGGCTCCCGCGTGTGGGGAGGGGAGGGCGGAGGGCCCGGCGAGCCCCCACCTCTCATCCCAACCAGGCTCCGCGCCATGCGTGGGTCTTCCATCCAGGCCTTCTCCTCCCAGGCCCCCTCCTTGGGAGCGGTGACTAGACTGCAGAGCGGGAGAGGCGCGGCCCCAGAAGGGTTAAAGCTTCCCATCCACCGGCTCCGCTCCCGCAGCCCAGCCGGCCACCCTTTGCTGGGGCCACAGAGCACCCCTCCACCTCACCCGCAGCCTCCTACACCATTCATCGAGTGACCAGGGCTGTTCTCCTGCGGGACCAGACCGAGCGCTCACGAAGTGCTCAGCGCCTCCCTGTCCCCAACTATCCTCCATTGAGGAAACAGTTGTGACCAACATTTAGCTGAGAGGGAAACTGAGGCACAGAGCCACCAAACCAAAGATGTCGGGTTAAAGATGCAGCAAGAATGAAGCAGGACTAGACTAATTTCTGCCTGCCTCCAGCACAGGAGCTTCGGCTTGCTAAGTCCTGTAACCTGGGGGTAAGGACCAGGTAGGGAGGACTTGCTGTGTGCTACATACCACAGACCTCGCATTCTGCACTCGTGGCCTCTTCAGACACCCTTAAGGCAGCGGTATTATCTTACCATTTCACAGATGAACAAGCTGAGGCTGGAGAGGGGCAGTGACTTGACCAAAGTCACATAGGTGCCTTCCGTGGAAGAAGGGAAGACTAACAATAGATTCTGGAGTATCCGCCAAGAGGGGCAATCTCCACCCCTGCTACCAAGAACCAGACCCTGCCTTTCTGGAGGCTGGTGGGCTAGCAGCGGAGTTGAAAAGGGGGTATATTAATTCTCAGTTCCCTCCTTTCTTTGTCTGGGAATCCGGCCTGGGGTCCCTAACAAAGGGTGGAGGACATGTATCTGATGTCTCTCACCCCCATACGTTTTATATTTACCATCTGGCTTTGTTCTGCAACCTACCTCTGGTGTCAGGCAATGTCAGTTAGCTATTGCCATCATAATGCTGTATGAACTTCCCTCCCCCTCCCCAATTCAGTGTCTTAAAACACTGAGCATTTATTTAGTTAGGGAGTCTGAGGTCAGTGACAGGCTGGGCTTATAAATCGGGATAGAAGGACAGGGGTTACTGGCCGTTCTGGCTGGCCTTGGCGGGAATGACTAGGGTCTTGGGCCTGGATCAGCCCAGGAGCGCTTTTCTTAGGGCCACCGTCAAGCACAAGCAAAAACACACACAACTCATAGGCTCACAACTTATTAGCGCATATACCTAACTCAGGTGATCAAAGCAAGCCATGTGTTCACACCCAGAATCAGGGGTGTGGGTGTCCCCCAGCCTCACTCCTCTGCCCTCTTGTCCCCACAGTAGAACACTGATGAGTTATACGGCATAAGATGTGGGTTTAGGGGTGAGGAATTGGGTCAGTTAATGTGCTTGTTCTATCAGATTGGAATTCTGGCTTCTCACTAGTTGTGTGATCTTGGCCAAGTGAATTAACCTCTCTGTGCCACAGTTTTCTCCTCGGTAAAATAGGTTGATTCCTACCTTATCCTTAGGGAATTAACTTGGTGGGAATTCAATTAGATAATGAATATCAAGCAGGGAGCACAGTGCTGATAAAGGCTAATTATTGTTACTGCTACATCCTCGTCTTACTGTTCTAACAAGAATAACGACGATTTGCTGAGTCCCTACACTAAGGCAGGTGTTGTGTCACAACCTTGAGACAAACTTATTATTGTCAGGACAAACTTATTATTGTCGCTATTAGGTCCACTTTAAAGATGGGGAAACTGAGATGAGAGAGGGGACAGGATTCACAGCCTGCTGACTCCAGCCCTAACTTGCCTCTGTCCATGCCAGGCCTCTCCCGCCCCAATGGCACAGGTACCAGGGGAGCTGGACAACATGGAGGGCCTGCCCGCCTCTAACAACAACAACCCCGCTACCCGCTGGGAGAGTCCTGACCGGGGCTGGGAGCGGGAGCAGCCCCTTGCCTCCACTGCAGCTGCCTCACTCTTCGAGTGCTCCAGGATCAAGGCCTTGGCAGGTACTTGGAGGAGGGGTGGGTGGGGGGAGGGAGGGAGGGAAGGGAAGGGGTTGCTGGGGTGGTGTTTGTGTCCCCCACTGCCTGAGAACCTCGGCACCTTGGAGACTGGGGAGAGCTCAGACATTAGAACTGCGCTCTTGGGGAAAGTACTGTCCAGTGGAACTTCCCACCGTGAAGGGAAACTTCTCGGTGACTTACTCTGACGGCCAGCACTCGCGGCTGCGAGCACTTGAACTACGGCCAGTATACGAGGCAGACTGAGTAGTATTTAGTTTTAATTAATTCAATTTAAAAAGCCACATGCGGCTGCTGGGGGCAACTTTATTTATTTATTTATTTTTAAGGATTTATTTATCTATGTACTGAAGACCTGGGGACACAGGCCAGGGGCGAGAAGGGTGAGAGGATCCACCAGAGACAGAGTGGGGCGCAGAATAGGCTGAATGGCTGAGATACACTGCTGAGGGGAGCAGCGGGCTAGACAGGAGAGGTCTGCTGCGCTGTGTGGGTCACTCCCTGGCCGGGGATTGAACTCGTGCTGCAGTGGCTGCAGACAGCTTCACAGTGCTGCATCTTAGCCCCTTGTACCACCCTGCCTCTAGGACCTTAGATGCTCAGAACCCAAACTCTCATGCACATATCCCCACAGTTTCATTATCCCAAACCTTTCGGGTTTCAGATCAGAAATGCTGATCCTGAGCAGTTTAAAGTAGAAAAGCCAAACCTCCCTCCCTTCGGCATTATACACCCCGTCCAGGCCCACTCCCGAAGGCTGAGAAGGCATTTTAGAACAAAGAAAGTCAAGACCACTTACAGGGATGAAGCTTGGCTTGACAGTCCCTTTTTTCTTTTTTTTAAAGATTTATTTATCTATGCATACAGAAGTAGGGTACAGGCCAGAGGTGGAGGGGCAGTGAAAAGATTCACCAGAGACAGAGTGGGGAGCAGAACAGGCCGACAGACGAAATACACAGCTGAGGGGAGCAGCAGGCGGGTCAGGAGAGGTCTTCTGCGCCATGTGGGTCAGCTCAGGGGAAGGTGGTGATCGAACTCATGCTGTGCTTTAACCTGCTGGGCCACCAGGGAGGGCCGACAGGGCGCATTTAATGAAGGATGGCTTTGTAGGAATAAAATGATCCACTGCTTAAAAAAAAAAAAAGCAGAGACCAAAGGACTGTATAGTGGTAGAATCTTAGAACCTTAGACCTTTCCAATTACAGACAATTGAACCTTAGGCCTTTATATTCGTAGGGCTTTAAAAATCAGTAGTTTTTAAACATCAGTGTTAAAACTTTATAAGCCAAGACCCCGAGAACCTTCATAATCATAAGCTTTTAAAACATTAGACCCTTATCACCTTGGGCCCCTGGGTCATCACATATTAGGAAAATGCAGTATTGTAATGAACCATAGATGTTATAATTATGAAATCAGCAAGTCCTAAAGTCAGAAGTGGTTCTCTGAGAATCTCAGGAGTCTAGTAATTCCCTCTGGGCCTGCCCGCTCTGGGTCACTCTGATTTGGCTGGATGGAGCTCTCCATTCTACTGGGAGCCCTGTGAGGACAGGGTCAGGGCTGGCTCAGTGCCCACGATGTCCCTCACCTGCCCCAGCACTGGCCAGGCACTGGATACATATTTGTGCATGAAATTTAAGAATTCTTTCTTTTTAAAAAGATTTATTTATTTATGCATACAGAATTGGGGTATAGACCAGAGGTGCAGGGGCAGTGAGAGGATTCACCAAGACAGAGTGGGGAGCAGAACAGGCAGACTGACAAAATACACTGCTGAGGGGAGCAGTGGGCGGGTCAGGAGAGGTCTGCCGCGCCATGTGGGTCACCCACCCTGGCCGGGGATCGAACTCATGCTGCAGTGGCTTTGGAGAGCTTCATAATGTGGTGCTTTAACCCGTTGCACCACCAGGGAGAACCCTAAATAAATACATCTTTTTTTTTAAAAGTACCTTTTTTTCTTAAACATTTTCTTAAAACTTGGGATCCTAGCAACTTAAAGTTCACGGATTATTTCACACACAAATGTGCCCAGTGCCTGGCCTGCGCCGTGCCAGATGAGGAACATTGTGGTCACTGAGCCAGCCCTGACCCCGTTCCCTGCAGGACTCCCTCACCCCCTGCCTGCTCCATCCAGCTAATCAGGATGACCACGGGGGGGGGGGCAGGCGTGGCACAGTGCAAGGCTGTGACTGGAAGTGAAGGGACTGTGGAGCCCAGCTGAGGGCTCTGACCCCATCTAGGGAGTCAGAGGGCTTCCTGGAGGAGGAGGCCAGGGCCTCAAGGGCTAGCGATGAAGCCTGGGGTGGAGAGGTAACAGGCTAAGCAAGACCTCCAGAAGCTAGAAGTGTTGATAGGAGTCTGTTTTTTTTTTTTGTATTTATTTATTTATATATACAAGGGCTGTGGTGTAGGCCAGAAATGTGGGGGGGTTGGGGGAAGTGAGAAGATTCATCCTCAGAGCCAGAGTGGGGAGCAGAGCAGGCAGACTGAAATACCCTGCTGAGGAGAGCAGCGGGCAATACAGGAGAGATCTGCTGCGCCCTGTGGGTCAGCTCCCTGGCCGGGGATCGAACTCATGCTGCAGTGGCTGTGGGTGGCTTCATAGTGCTGAGTCTTAACCCTTGCACCAGCAGGGAGCCTGGTCTTGAAGGGCCCTACAGGCCACCCTAAAGGGTGTGAGGGCACCAGGGAGCCATGGCCAGATTTGAAGCAGAGGCGAGATGAGGATTGAGTGCTCTTCAAGCTTTAGAATTGCCGATTCTGAGCACCTTCCTGCATACGGAAGACAGCAGCTAGGTCCCGAGAAACATAGGGACCCCCTTTAAGAACGAAAATGTCCTCACGCACCTCCCTATCTACTTAAGTTATCATAACTATAGTTTTCTTAAGTGCTCGTAAACCCACAGCTCTGTTTATGTCCCTTGTGCCTACAAGTCTCGAAAGGAAAACACTTTACTTGGACTCTGTATCCAAACCACAACCCAGCAGCCTTCATGTTGACGCTAAACCACCTTGCGTCTCACCGTGCTGATGTGGGCCGGACCACTAGAGGGCGATTCTCTCGCATCCCTTTGCCAGTTTATCTCCTGGTGGTTTTTCTCTCTTCCAAATAGGGTCAAACCTTGCAGCAGAGTTCTCGGTTACTTTTTTTTTTTTTTTAACGTGAAGATACATGTTTCTTAAGGTTTATTTATTGATGTATACAAATGCTGGGGGGCAGGCCAGAGGTACAGGGGTGGGAGGATTCACCAGAGACAGTGGAGAGCAGAACAGGCAGATCTACTGAAACCCACTGCTTAGGGGAGCAGCGGGGAGACAGGAGAGGGCTGCTGCGCCCTGTGGGTCAGCTCCCTGGCTGGGGATTGAACTCATGCTGCAGTGGCTGCAGACAGCTTCATAGTGCTGCACTTCAGCCCCTTATGCCATGGTGGGTAGGGGGCTCCCTGCGTAAAGATAATTTTAAAAAGTAGCCTGGACCTCAGGTTTATAAAGTTCCTTTTATCACACTCCACAGTTTTCAGCTTACAGTCTATAAAGGTCCCTTTCTCTTTATCCCTTCGTCTTTAGTATCTTTTTTTTTTAAAGATTTATTTATTTGTGCATACAGAACTGGGGTACAGGCCAGAGGTTCAGGGGCGGTGAGAGGCTTCACCAGAGACAGAGAGGGGAGCAGAACAGGCAGATCGACAAAGTACACTGCTGAGGGGAGCAGCGGGCGGGTCAGGAGAGGTCTGCCCCGCCATGCGGTCACCTCCGGGGCAGGCGGGGATCGAACTCATGAGGAAACGGCTTGAGATTCTTAGTGCTGTGCTTTAACCCGCTGCACCACCAGGGAGGGCCAATCTTTAGTATCTTTTATTCCCTCATCTCACACCGGTGCCTCACCCAGAGGCAACCATCTAGTAGCTGTGCAGCAAATCCTTCCTGTGGCTCCCTCCCGACTTCGGAAAAATGAGCCTTGTTAGTGTGCATTCCTCTTAAGTCTCAGCTCTTCAGGGCAGGTGTGGGTGCAGTGGGCATATGAACCCCGGGTGCCCAGCACTTCCACAGATGAGTTCCCTCTAGGGAGGAGCACCAGGAAACCCTGAGGCCCCGTGGGAGCCCCCTAGGACCCTCCGTCCCTGCACCCAAGGGTGACCGCTGTCCTGCTGTCTCACCGCACACACTTTCGGTGCGTGTTTGAACCTGACGTACGTGGACACGCAGCCACCCTGTGTGTCTGACTTCAGCCATTCAGCACTCTGCTGTGGCTTCGTCACATCCACTTGAACGTGGAGGTGTTCCGTGGTGTTGTCCCGTGACTCCACCCTGCCAGCAGCCAAGGTCCCATGCACCTGTTGGTACAGCGCTGAGGTGCTTCTAGTTTAGGGCTCCCACAAACCGGAGCATAACTGTTACAGGACAGTTGTGAACCCCGATGTGAAATGCATTGGCCTTGTTACAGGACAGGGAAAGGGGCACCCCTGGACCCCCAAACCCGCTGCTCTAAATAGGTTCTGCCATCCGCTGCATCAAGACAAAGCATAGAAGACTTTAAGGAAAAGGAACAAGGCTGAGGCACCTTCTGGCTGGGACCCATGGAAAAGGGTCAGAAGTGGCCCGGCAAGTCTGGGGGGAAAAGAGCAACATCAAAATCAATATAAACACTGCCATAGTCACCTCCCTACAGGTCTCTCACCCACATCTGCCCTAACCAATCCAGGGTCAGGAAACAAGCACGGTTTCTTCCTCACAGGCTTGCTGCTCCATGTGGCTTCCTCAGGTCTCCTTCTGGCTCTCCATCCTGCCTCCCTGCCTCTTTCTCTTCTTCTCTCTTCTCCTTTTTCTCTGCTCAGCTCCACCCTCCTTCTGGGTGGGGCAGGGAACCTGGAACTTCCCCTTTTTCCTGGGGACCACCCTGTTACAGCCTGAGTGTGTGTCCTCACCTGGGCACTTAAAAGGGGCTTATAGCGAGACTCAACTGCAGGCACATACAAATCCTTTAATAAAGGATTTGCTTACAAAAAGGGGAAATGGGGCCCTCTGTGGTGGTGCAAGGAGTTAAAGCGCAGCACTGAAACTATCGGTAGCCACTGCAGCACTGAGTTGGTTCCCCGGCCAGGGAGCTGACCCATAGGGAGCAGCAGACCTCTGCTGTCTCCCTGCTGCTCCCCTCAGCAGTGTATTTCAGTCAACCCACTTGTTCTACTCCCCACTCTGTCTCTGGTGAACCCTCTCACCTCCCCCCTGTACCTCTGACCTGCACCCCAGTTCTTGTATGCATAAATAAATAAACCTCTCTTTAAAAAGGGGGGGATAAAGAAAGGAATAACCCAGGACCAAAGAGTGAGAGAGAAACTGGTGAATTCTTCTTAACAGTTCTGCTGAGCTGGGACCCCAATAGCACGCTGAAGGCCAGTGTAAAACCGAGCACCCCCAAGGCCCACGTATCTCTGTTGTATGCCTAGTCTGGCTGCTCATCTCCACCCGCAGTTCCCAGCACCCTCTCTTTGGTGGTGATGACAAGAGGTTTCCAGCCCTTGGTGCCTTGGATGTCTTTGGCCCGGTGTGGGTGGAGGCCGTAAAATCTGAGTTTGTGGAGTCATTCAAGACATCCCCTCCCCCCGACCCCTGAATTATCAACTGGTAATACCGTGTATTTCAAGTGATGACTAAACAAACAAACAAACAAAAAAAAAACAGTTACATACTATTGTTTTTCTAAACTTTCTAGCACACGTTTGGGTGCTTTTCTGTTGCAACCTCATTTTTTTCTCTAAAAATACCCCCACCCCAGCATCACACCTATTCGGATGGACTTAGGTGGCTTATACTAGCCAGGAGTGCTATGGGTGGGTCAAGTGCAAAGGTCAAGCCTACATGTACTCGAACTTTAGCGGAACTGGCCAGTCGGTGTCCTTTTCTGTTCATGCTGCTGTGTGGGGGGCGTGTTTGCTGTACATCAGCCTGGGGACGTCTGTGTCACTGATTTGAGTCATTCTGGGGGTGTGCATTCCATTGTGGTTTGAGGTGCATCGTCTGATGAGGAACAGCAGCTAATTTGGACAGCCGCCTGGAAGCGCCCATTCAAGCCGCTTGTCCACTTTCCTTCTGTTCTCAATTGTCTTGCAAGAGTTTTACATGTGTTCCTGGGTCCAGCCCTTTGTCAGGAATCTGTGCATACACAAGTGGGGTACAGGCCAGAGGTGCAGGGGCTGTGAGAGGAGTCACCAGAGACAGAGTGGGGAGCAGAACAGGCAGATTGATGAAGTGCACTGCTGAGGGGAGCAGCGGGCGGGTCAGGAGAGGTCTGCTGTGCCCTGTGGTCAGCTCCCTGGCTGGGGATCGAACTCTTGTTGCAGTGGCTGCCAGCCGTTTCATGGTGCTGCATTTTACCCGTTGTGCCACCAGGGAGGGCCCTGTGCTGTGAATACTTTCTCCCACTCCATGACGTGTCTTTTCATCCTTATATTTCTTAAAGGGAAGGTAGTCCAAATTGGTAATGATTTCATCATTACTTCCTGGATAGCTGATGCTTTGTCAGCTCTTTGCCTAAACCAAGGTTCCTGAAAGAGTCTTTGATGTTTCCTTCTACAAGTCTCATTGTATTTCTTTCATATTTAGATTTATTAGCTGAATGATAGTTTTGAGATTTATTGTGGTCTATAGAGTAGTTGAACGTTTGTTCTACATCCCACGCATGGATGCCCAGTGGATTCAGCTTCATTCTTGTCCCAGAGGAGAGGAAATTTCCCTCTACCCTTCTGAGTTCTTCTCAGGCTGGATAAATAATCAAGTTAGCATCAGACAGATTCATAGGACAGGAGAAAAAACAAATTTCATTATGTATGTGCAGTCCTACTGGACTGCAGACACACAGGCAGGCAGACAGACAGACAGACGTGTAGCAGTACACATGTCTGTGTGTAGACATGCACGTCTTGCTGACTGGCGCAGGTTTCCTCACCAGAGGAACCTAGAGACGCAGACCCAGGGTCGGGGGGGACCCTGGAGGGTCTATACCCGAGCTAGTCGCGGGCCAGGCCGGGGCTGCCATGACAGCGGAGGGTCTCCTAGTGCGCCTGCTCTGTAATTACTTGTTTGCCCTGCCGGATGGACAGGTCGCTCTGGGGGAGGAAGTCATTTATTTTAAAATTGCTTTTAAACATCCTCGTTTATTTTCCACAATACAGGATTTGTGCCCTTGGCACAGCCACCACAGTTTCCCTGCTCCCACAGTGCCCACTGTCCCCCCTCACACTCCACTATGCTCCCCCATTCTCTACTGTCTCCTCCCCCTCGTCCTCCCCCTCTTCAGGGTCTCAGATCTAAGATCTGGGGTTAATGGTCAGCCTACTGTTTGTGGAAAAAGGGTTACTTGTGATAAAACCCTAATTCTGGGTAATATTCCTGAGTTTCGTTCTTTTGGGTAGTTAAGGGGATAGTAAAATTTCCAAAATAAATTCAATAATAAAGTTCACGGTAATCCGCCTGCCGAAGCGATGTATCTTAGGGAGGCCTGATCCAAACATTCTGGGGCGGCTGATCCTTTCCTACTGGACTGCAGCGTCCTACTGGACTGCAGCCACACAGGCAGACAGACAGACACGTAGCAGTACACACATGCCTGTGTATAGCACGTCTTGCTGACTGACGCAGGTTTCCTCACGCTCTGGATGGCATTTACTGCTGCGTTATTTCCTCACCCAGTGCTACGCCAGAGACCCCTCCATGTGGTTCTGTGTCTGCCTAATGGTTGCTTGCAAAGGCTGCATGGACTCTGTGATGTCCACTCTTCTCAGAGATGGACAGCAGGCTCTCTCCACCCCTGTCCCCACCCTCCCATCTCCATCCCCAGCATCGTCATATATACTCCCTATGAAAATGGGAGGAAAATTTGGGACAAGTCCGGGCCTCCCTGGTGGCACAAGAGATTAAGTCTCAGCACTATGAAGCTGTCCGCAGCACGAGTTTGATGCCCAGCCAGGGAGCTGACCCACAGGGCGCAGCAGACCTCTCCTGTCTCCCCGCTGCTCCTCTCAGCAGGGTGTTTCAGTCAACCCACCTGTTCTGTCCCCCGCTCTGACTCTGGTGAATCCTCTCACCCCCGCACCTCTGGCCTGGACCCAGTTCTTGTATGCATAAATACATAAAAATAAATCTGTTTTAAAAAATCCAGATTTTTGGCTCCTGGTAGAGTATCGCATGACGTGGCAACACCAGGCCGTGTTCGTGCGTGGCTCCAGTGGCGGGGGCCGTGCGGCCACTACCCCTCTCAGGGGTGGCTACAGCTCAGCTCGTGGAGCCTGCTTGCCTGGCGTTCTGCTCCGTGATAACGGGATCGTAAAACTGAAATCGCATGGCTCTTTATGAAGTTAGTATCCAGATGGTGCAGGATATGTTGCTTTTCATTTGAAATGACAAAATAAAACATTTCTCATGGGCCCTTCCCCTCTGAGCATGAGTTCTGAAATAAAAATCCAACACCCCCCAAAACCCACTGAAGGGACGGATCTAGCCCAAGCCTTCATTTTGCAAATAGAAGATTGAGGTTCAAAGAAGAGAAATGACCCCCCTGAAGTCACAGGTGGGTCATCCACAGAGGAAGACTGAATCCAACTGTCCATCTGCGGATTTCACACTAGGAGCCACTGACCGTCCACTTCAGTATTGGCCAAAAGCTGCTCTTTGGCACCAGCTCTTGGAAGACAGAATCACCAGCTAGATATCCAACACGGCATGCTTCTGTCATCCTTGCCTGTGTGTCATTGACGATCGCGTGTCCACACAGGTCTCTTCCTGTCCAACAATTGAACAAACAAGCTATGGCATTTGAATTTCTATTAGTCTCATCATATTGACTTAAAAAAATTTACTTATTTATGCATGCAAAAACTGGGGTGACCCCTCACCCCTGTTTCCAGTTTCTGTTCACCAGAGACACAGTGGGGAGCAGAACAGGCAGATGGACTGAAACACAGTGCTGAGGGGAGCAGCGGGGAGACAGCAGAGGTCTGCTGGGCCATGTGGGTCACTTCCTGGCCGGGGATCGAACTCGTGCTGCAGTGGCTGCAGACAGCTTCATAGCGCTGCACTTTAACCCCGGTGCCACCAGGGAGGGCCCAGCCACAGCTGTTTTTGAGACCCAGCTCTCACCCTGTCCCTCCACCTCCTGAGCCTGCTGGCACCCTGCTGTATTATAGGTACCGGCACTAAGCTGAGCTTTGCGATGTGAGGGCTCATGTGTTCTCAGAGCCTGGACAGTGCTGGGCACCTAACCGGCAGGCACTCGTTTAATGAAGGGAGAGAATCGACCAGGGAAAGGGTCCTGTGGACGTGCTGTCTCAGAAAAATCTAGACTGTGAAGCTGTGTGTGTGTGTGTGGGGGGGGTGAGCTGCGGGGAGTGAGATATATGGGGGTGGGGGGCGAGAGGGGCTTTGTTCCAGATGGGAGGCTTCTAGCGCTAAAGATCTGATTGTTGCAGGGTCTACTGCAGTTTGTTAGGGCAGCGGAGGGCTGGGGTGTAACTGGAAATGGGATCTGTCCTTCAGATGAGCGGGAAGCCGTGCAGAAGAAAACCTTCACTAAGTGGGTGAACTCACACCTCGCCCGCGTCGGCGGCCACATCGCGGACCTCTATGCAGACCTCCGCGATGGCTTCGTGCTCACGAGGCTCCTGGAAGTGCTGTCCGGGGAGCAGCTGGTGAGGGGGGCTGAAATGCAGGGACAGCGGGGTGGCCGGGGTCTTGGGCTAGGCTACCGCTGGACAGGGGTGGAGTGTCCCAGGCAGGGAGAGGCCCGCCATGCTGGTAGGCGGGGCTATCGCCGGGGCGGAGCTTAGTTGTGGGGAGCCTGGCGGCCTCAAGGGAGACCTTGTGGAAGGAAGGTGAAGGGACTCTGGTATTGGGTTGGAGGGAAAGGGGCGATGGGAGATGGACACTATTAGAAGGGATAGGCTTGGATAGTGCAGCAGCAAGGGACATGGCCATCAAAGAGGGACAGATGGAAGGCTGTAGCGGGGGTCCGTGGAGGTGGGTGTGGCTTTCTAAACTGGGGTCCATAGTCATGGGAAGGGTGAGCCTAGGTCGCTGGAGGGGGGAGTGGAACTCTTGCATGGGGTGTGACTTGGATGGGTACAGTAGTATTTCTGGGCTTGGGTGGGGCTTCATCGCCAAGCGGAGTTCTGATGGGTCCAGAGGTGAATTTAAGGACCCAGATCTTGGAGCTCAGGATGTTGTGAGGGCAAAGCTATAGAACAGGAACAAGGGCCAATGGAAGGGCCGCCCCTCTCCGCAGGGAGCGGCCTGGGACGGGGCGTGGCTAGGTGGGAAGGGGGTGTGGCCACGGAACTAGCGCACAGATACTGGTGGCCTGGGGCAGGGATGCTCAGAAGGGGCGGGGCTAGGGCTACACCGCGCTTCAGAGGGGCGGGGCCAGGCTGGCTTCAGCCTGAAGGGTTGCGCATCAGGAAAGGGTCCAGCGCTGGCTTTGGAAGGACTGGGTCCCCGGCGTTTGGTAACACCCAAGGGGCGTGGCCCGCGCTGGGCATCCAGGGGGCGTGGCTAGGCAGGTGGGCCTCTTTGAAAGGGGTGGGGGCCGAGGGCACGGTGCTTTTGGCCAGGCGCTGGGTCTGCCCACGCCCCTGCTGCCCTAGCCAAGGCCCACGCGCGGTCGGATGAGGATCCACTCACTGGAAAACGTGGACAAAGCGCTGCAGTTCCTGAAGGAGCAGCGCGTGCACCTGGAGAACGTGGGCTCACATGACATCGTGGACGGGAACCACCGGCTGACACTGGGGCTGGTTTGGACCATCATCCTTCGCTTCCAGGTGATCCCCACGTGACCCCTGCCCCCAAGGGACCCCTGAGTAAGTGTGCGTAAGTAAGGAGAGTGTGGAGAATAGGAGGCACATAATCTGACCTTGCTGTTCACATGGTCCCTCTGGACCAAGGGGGCAGCAGACTGTGGGGGAGGGGGCAGAGACACCAGGGTGGCGGCCACTGCCCTAGCCCATGGGGAAGATGCTGGTGACTTGGTTCAAGGAAGTGGTGCAGGTGTCAAGAGGGAAGCCACTGCATCCTCAGGCACCTCCCCGATTATGGGTGACCAGTGGATGGCCTACCCTCACACTCCTGAAGCCCCACTGGAGCTGGGATCTGCCCCTCTATCTCCTCTGTCCTCTAAAGGCAGCAGGGTCAGAGGGTATTTCCTAAGCTCAGCCCCTCCAGGACCCAGCAGCCATTTTTTGTGACCTCACAGATTCAAGTCATCAAAATTGAGACTGAGGACAACAGAGAGACCCGCTCTGCCAAGGATGCACTGCTCTTGTGGTGTCAGATGAAAACAGCGGGGTGAGCCCTGTCTGGGGGTGGAAGGGGTGGAGGAGGCCCTCCCCTTGATGCAGCGGGAAGTCCATGACCTTGGTGTCAAAAGTCATGTCTGAGGCTAAGGAACCAGTAAGGAAGCGCATCCGTCTGACTAACCCGGTTGACGCAGATGCCCGCATACGGCTGAGGCCTGGGACTCCTCAGGGGCCGGGGGTGCTGGGGAGTGGTGCTCCCTTCTCCCTTCACTGTGTCCAGTACCTCAAGAGGCCTCATGTGCACCTGGGGGATCCCCAGCCCTCTCCTAGAGCTCTGGCCATAGCCCCCACAGCAGACACGCTCAGAAGGGCGCATACCAGGACTCGGGCAGCCCTGGGGATTCAGGGCCGGGTCCCTCATGGTGGCTGAGATGGGGGATGCATGGTGCTGGCCCCCAAGTCTGCCTTGTGGGGAGGGCCTGGCCTGGAACTAGAGCGCTCTGGGGAACAGCCTCTGGGAGGAAGCCGGAAGGTGGGTGAGGGTGGCGATGGGGCAGAGTCAGGGTCTGACTCGCGCTCTGGGGCTGCCTTGCAGAGGTGCCTGTTTCTCCCTGCCCTCCTCTTCCTCCGTCCTCTTCCTCCGTGTCTGCCTTTTCTCTCCCTGCTGCTCCTCTCTCTCCTCCTTTCCCTTCCCCTCTCTCCCACCTCCTCTTCCTCCTCTTGGCCCTTCTTTCCTTTTTGCTCCGCCCTTGTCTCCTCATTCCCTGGCCTGCTCCATCCATCTGTCTGCCCATCCATCCGTCCATCCACGCCTGTCTTCCCCTCCCTCCCTCTCCTGACTCTCTATCTCTGCCTATCTCTTCCTGCCATGCTGCCAGCTACCCTGAGGTAAACATCCAGAATTTCACCACCAGCTGGCGGGACGGCTTGGCCTTCAATGCGCTCATTCACCGGCACAGGTACTTCCCAGCCTGCGGCAGCCCAGCCCTCCCCTGAGCCCTGCCCCAAGCCTCTCAGCTCCACCCCTGCACATGCACATGCAGGGATACAGACACAGGGCCCACCCTCACCCCTGCACACATACACATGCTCTTCCTGCTTCCATACACGTGCACACCCATACGGACCCTCGTCTGGGCTCACCCGCTCTGCACACGCGGACACATTCATACATATGTGAGCACACTCACAAACACGCGTGTGCAGACACAGCCTGTGCCTGCTGCTTGGAAGCCCTGGGGCGGGGAGTTCACCCCTTTCTCCATCACCTGCACAGTGCCTCTCCTACCTGAAAGGCCTTCCTCAAGGGGAGCCCCGAAGTGTCCTGGCTCCCCCCACCCTAGCTCTTCATACCTCAGGGCTGTGCTGACGTGACTGAGGGCTGGCCCCCAGACAGGCTACATCTATGATAGATTTGGGAAACTGAGGCCTAGAGACTGGGGTTACCTGTTCTGGTGTGACAGAACCCAACTTCTGATACGGACACGTGTTGCCTCACAAACCCACAAGCTGTCACAGGGGTCGTGCGAACCGTGGTCACACGGACTGAGCGCTCCCGTGTGGCTGGCATAGTTCTGACGGCTCGCCAGCGGGTCATTCACAGTGATCCGCAGGGGCAGATGCCATGAATCTCCCCATTTTCTAAGCAAGGAAAGGGGCACAGAGAGGGGAAGTAACTCACCCAGAGTGACAGTGGGAGATGAGTGAGTGGGGTGGATGGGTTCCAGACCTCACACTAGACATCATACGTGACAGGAACACACCCAGAACACACTTGCACGCTGTGAGCAGCACACTGTCCTCATGCAGCACAATTAAATGCACACTTGATGTTCCCCTGGCCGGGTGTGCCCCTCCCCTCTGCCTGCCCATGGCTCTGGAGCCTGCCTGCTGCCTGCCCCGCTCTGTGCCCCTGCCCAGGCCCGATCTCGTGGACTTCAGCAAACTCACCAAGTCCAATGCCAACTACAACCTGCAGAGAGCCTTCCGCACAGCCGAGCAGCACCTGGGACTGACGCGTCTGTTGGACCCTGAGGGTGAGCCACACCTGACCCCAGCCTCCACTGCCTTTTGGGGGGCCCTCAACTCCAATGCCATCAGCTGCATTTTACTGTGCCACCATCCCAAATCTGCAGGTCATTCCAATCCCAATTCCCTTCCTTACTCACCTCCAGCCCCCGCACTTCTCATTCGCACATCCTTGACTTTCTCCATCCCAAACCCCACCTCCATTTCTATCTCCAGTTTAACCTCCACCCCCTTCCCGAAACCCATCCTTAGCCATCTTTTCCTCAACCGAACCCCCATTCTCCCTAGCCCTACAAAAGAACAGAACAAGGGGTTCTATAGAACAAGGGGTTATCATGGGTCAAAGATAGTGTCAAGGTAGAGGCCACTGTTACAGGGTTCTCTTCTCACTCACACACAGAGTTGTAAGGTACCCCAGGCTCAGGGAACAATAATAATGGGGCTCAACCAAACAAGGGAAACAAAAACTTACTGTAGCCATAGTAGCTGACTAGATCACTCCAGATAGCATCCACAGTGTTCAGAAGTAAGTGGGAGCAGCTCTCAGAGGTGGCCCAGACACAGAGTTCTGGCCACCTGTCAAAAGTGCTAAACAGCCCTGGCACTTGTGCTGGGCAGCATGAGGCAGTGTCAGAGCCCCCCAGTGTTAACATCTCTTTGTGAGGTATTGGTGATACCACCAACAAACAGCTCTTCCAGACACCAGGCCCGGGCCTTTGGGGCTCCTTTCAGGCAATGTCAGAGACAGGACTGGGGATTGATATGGTGGCCCCATATTTGCAAAGAGGACTCGGGTTCCCCATCCTTCTTGGTCTATTGTTAGGTGATCTTGCTGCTTCTTTGGAGCTGGAATAGAAAGCCCCAAGTACCTGCCTGTGCTGCCTTGTATCTTCCTTCAAGCCCTCCCCCCCCCCCAGCATGATTGGATCATTTTTTCAAACCTATGGCTGATTGGATCCTTTAGCACCAATCAGCTCCTAGCTTACACCTGATTGGTCCATTTTATTTTCCAGGCGCCATATATAAAAGGGAATTTGGTGCTTCCTGGGGAGCTCCAGCAGCCAGAGGCTGCCCTGGAATAACACAGAAGGGGTGGTGGACAGTGTAGCAGCAGAGTGGGCATGCTTCTGGTGCCACCAGCTTCTGGCTGGTTTCGTCTCTCTCGGGGTTCCAGTTTCAACCGCAGCCCCAGCCTCAAAGCCAATGCCATCCCTGCCTCATACCCCCCATCCTCACCACTCCATCCCAGCTTTCTCCCCTTCACAACAACATCTTCCCTGCCTTCTCCATCCCACCCCAGTTGCAGCCCTTCCTGCCCCTTCTCCACACCAGGTCTACCCACATCCAGCGCTCATTCCTCTGCCGACCTCTTTCCTTTTCAGACTACCTGCAGGGGTACACCTGACGTCAACCTCACCCCCAATCCAGATCACACCCAGCACCCGTCCTCCCTCTCTCCCTTTTTCTTAGCATCAACTAGGTGCCAAGTTCACGGCTGAGGATTTTATCAAACCTGTTCCTGTTCCTCCTCACACTGACCTGGTCGGCTGGAACTTGTACTGTGTTAAGGCAACGGAGACAGAGGGCAGAGATGGGATGTCTCCTGCTCAGAGTCACAGCGAAAACCAATAGGCCATACTTCCAACTGCAGAATTCAGGCCTTAAAGCTGTCTTCTGCTCAGTGCCTGGCATTTAGGTGTTTGGAAGGTGTCCGATCCAGAGGGCTGAGGATATTGCTGTGCCACTTGTGGGTCAATTAAAAGGATAACTAGAATTTGTTGATTTTTCTTCTCTGTGCCAGGCTATGCTTTCTGATGGTACAGTGTTCCTCCCTGACAGGCACTATGGTCATCCTTATTGTGACAGTGGGTCAACTGTGGCCCAGAGATAGCACTCCAGAAGAGCGGTACAAAAACTGGCCCACCCTGGTGGTGCAACGAGTTAAAGCACAGCACTGTGAGGCTGTCGGCAGCTACTGCAGCACATGTTTGATCCCCAGCCAGGGGGCTGACCCACATGGTGCAGCAGACCTCTCTTGTCTCCCCACTACTCCCCTCACAGTGTATTTTGGTATATGTGTCTTTTCTGCTGCAGAGACCACTCTGTCTCTGGTAAATCCTCTCATCCCCTGCACCTCTGACCTACACCCTAGTTCTGTATGCATAAATAAATCTTCAAAAAAGAACGTGTCAAAAGCACAAGCACAGAGCACAAAACTAAATTTAAAAAGGAAGTATTTGTGAGTAAAAAAGAGAAAGAAATCAAGAGTGAACGAAAGCCAAAACTGAGAAAGAGAGAAGCTGTCTTGCCTAAGGCCACACGGTTAGGCATTCTTCCCTCCCCATCCTCCAGTCCCTCAGTTGGAGTGCTCACCATGACGTTCCCTCACTCTCCTTTGCCCCCTAGATGTGAACATGGAGGCTCCAGATGAGAAGTCCATCATCACCTATGTGGTCTCTTTCTACCACTATTTCTCCAAGATGAAGGCTCTGGCTGTGGAGGGGAAGCGGATTGGGAAGGTCTGATGAACCCAGGAGTGGGGCGGGTGACAACCTGGGGCATCCCTGGGCTCAGGCTGACCCTTCCGGCCTTTGCCGGGTCAGGTCCTGGACCAGGTGTTGGAGGTGGGCAAGATCATTGAGCGCTACGAAGAGCTGGCGGCGGAGCTGCTGGCCTGGATCCACCGCACCGTGGGCCTCATCAGCAACCAGAAGTTTGCCAACTCCCTGAGTGGGGTGCAGCAGCAGCTTCAGGCTTTCACGGCCTATTGCACACTGGAGAAGCCTGTCAAGTGAGGCCCGTTCAGGAGGGAGGATCGCAGGTGGCGGTGTGGAGGCAGGGCTCCTGAGTTTCAGCCGTTTCAGATTTCAGGAGAAGGGGAACCTGGAGGTGCTGCTCTTCAGCATCCAGAGCAAGTTGCGCGCCTACAACCGTCGCCTCTTTGTGCCTCGGGAGGGCTGTGGCATCTGGGATATAGACAAGGTGAGGCTGAGAATGTGGGGAACAGGTGGGGTTGCTCTGAGGAGTGGTCCAGGCTGTGCTCTGCTCAAGGGAGCCGTTTACATTGTAGGCATCATGGACTGCCTATTCAGGGTGACAGTTTTCCTGCAGGAAAATGCCAGAAGGAGACCTTTTTCTCCAGTTTGCCCACAGGTGCTGCAAGTGTGAGGTGTGACCTGAGCCAGTGAAGTCAGGGCTCTGAGATGGTGAGGCATGTTGGAGTCTGAGTGCCTCTTCCTCTCTTCCCAGGCGTGGGGCCAGCTGGAGAAGGCCGAGCATGAGCGGGAGGCTGCCTTACGGGCTGAGCTGATTCGACAGGAGAAGCTGGAACTACTGGCCCAGAGGTTTGACCACAAAGTAGCTATGAGGGAGAGCTGGCTAAATGAGAACCAGCGGCTGGTCTCCCAGGTACAAGGTGTAGGGCTTGGCTCTGGGGAAAAGGGAGGGGGCTGGGGCTGATGGCTCTGGGACCAGAGAGGAAGCCTTGGTCGCCTAAGCAACAGACAAGTGTTGGCTAGTCTCCTAGGTGACGAATAAGGGTGGGAAGGAAGGGAAAACTGGTCTCCTAAAGTGACTGGTGGGGGAGGGGAGTGGGCCTGATCTCCAGGGTAACAGGAGAGTGAGGCTGATCTCCAGGGTAACTAATGAGGACAGGGTTAGTCTTTTCAGAAATCGGGGGTATTTATGAGACTCTTCAGTGACAAGGGAGGTGTACTGGTGTCCAGGGCAACTAAGGAGGACAGAACTGGTCACCTAAGTAACAGGATGGAGTAGGCCATAGTCACCCATCTCTGGGGCAATGAAGTGTGGGGTCCCTTTCCCGGGCGACCTGTTCAGGATTACAGATGTAGCAGGGGAGGACAGCACTGGTTCCCAGGGTAACAGGAGCAGGTCGGGAAGTTTCCAGGCTCACACAGGGCCAAGGTGCCAGGTGGACTGCTGAGGCAACGTGGGTGAGTGTCTGTGGCCTGCCCTGCCCCAGGACAACTTTGGGTACGAGCTGCCGGCAGTGGAGGCAGCTATGAAGAAGCATGAAGCCATCGAGGCCGACATCGCCGCCTATGAGGAGCGGGTGCAGGGCGTGGCGGAGTTGGCCCAGGCACTGGCGGCTGAAGGCTACTACGATGCCCGGCGGGTGGCGGCCCAGCGAGACAGTGTCCTGCGCCAGTGGGCCCTGCTGACAGGGCTGGTAGGTGCCCGAAGAACACGGCTGGAGCAGAACCTGGCCCTGCAGAAGGTCTTCCAGGAGATGGTGTACATGGTGGACTGGATGGAGGAGATGCAGGTGGGCATCATGGGGGGCTTGGGGTGCCAGGAGGGGGACACCGATAGAATTGTCGTAGAGATACAGAGGGCAGGGGAGAGGCAGAAAGAGGTAAAGAAGAACAGAGAGAAAGACAAAGGAAGATGTGTAGAGGCCAAAAAAGAAAAAGGACGATGGCTCTCCCTGCTGGCCTCGGGGTTAATCTCACTGCATCCCTGCTACAGCCTGAGTTCGATCCCTGCCCAGCGAGTGACCCACACGGTGCAGCAGACCTCTCCTGTCTCGCCCGCTGCTCCCCTCAGTAGTGTATCTCAGCCATTCAGCCTGTTCTGCTCCCCACTCTGTCTCTGGAGAATCCTCTCACCACCCCCACTTCTGGCTTACACCCCAGTGCTTCTATGCAAAGTCAATTAAAAAGATTAAATAAAAAGAAACAGGTAAAAAAGAGGTGGAGTTAGGGACAGAGACTCAGACAGAGGGATGACACCAGAGGAAAACGATGAGAGAGAGGGAGGGAGAGAACAGTTAGCAATGGAAATCTAAATAAATGACTGCACAGAAAGACACGTAGGCAGATGGAATCCATTTGAGACAGAGGCCTACAGAAGATAGACAGGTAGAGATATGGGGATAAGAAATGCGGAAGCAGAGAGAGCTACGGACACAGAAAACTAAGAGGCGGAGGCAGATAGTGGAGGCTTAGAGAGGGAAATGCTGCGACAGAGAAATGAGAAGGTGAGAGATGGAACATTCGAGAGACTGGTGGCGAGAGATGATGACCGACAAGGGAGCGGCCTGGGAAGGGCCTGCTGTGCGGACAAGCAGAGCCTGGGCCGCTCCATGGGAGGAGAGGGGTGGTCCAGGCCCGGCCAAAGCCTGCTCAGTGCTGCCCCCTCCGGTAGGCTCAGCTGCTGTCTCGCGACTGTGGGCAGCACCTGGTGGAGGCCGAGGACCTGCTGCAGAAGCACGGCCTGCTGGAGGGTGACATTGCCGCCCAGAGCGAGCGCGTGGAGGCACTCAACGCTGCTGCCCTGCGGTTCTCTCAGCTGCAGGGTGAGTCTGGGTTCGGGGGTGGGGGGGGGCCTACGGGGCAGACTGACTCCTGAGAGCAGGAGTGGGCTCCTTGTCTTTGGAGGTATCCAAGCAGAGACTAGGGTCACAGTCCTAGGGGTTTTGTGGGGAAAGTTAGTGCCTTAAGGGGGAGGTTGGACCACATACCTTTCCTCTTTGGGATTCTATAGTAATAGTTCGCATTGAGTGAGGACTTGTTATGTGCGTAGCTCCTCATTACCACATCTCAGTGAATACCGTAGATATTCAGGGCATTTTCAGTAGTGGGTGATAGAGAGTCAACCGATTATCCGATTATCCGAAGGAGGAAAAGGGAGTGTGTTGACTGAGCTCACTATACTGTCCTGAGAAGACTGAAGTTGGCTTCAGGTACGGCTGCATCCAGGGATGATGGCTCAGTGTGGCTTTCGAGACATCATCTCCCTCTGTCATGTCTCTCTGGCTCTAGTCTCTGTTTATGACTTTTGGGCATGCCCTCTCCTCGAGGTACAACTCATTCAGACCTGGGTTTCCATACCCAAAGCTTCGCATCCCAGTAGGAGATAGGCCCTTTGCCCTGATAGTCGGACCAGAGTTCTGAGGAAAGCTTCCGTTAGCCCACTGTGAGTTCCTTCCCGTGTGTGGACCTCAGGAATCCAGCCTCTATGTAGTTGTCCACATCTATGTGACAGCTCGCCCATCCTGGCCCCTGAGGGGTGAGCTCCAACCAGAGACAAGAAGTGAGAAAGAGGTAGGGCGTGGGTGCTGACAGGCGAAACCCAGACTGGCTCTAGTAAGGTTCTCATCTTACTGACGCCAGCGCCCTCAGCCAAGCTGCTGGCTCTGCACAGCCTGAGAGATGCACAGGATGGGATGGGCGACTTGTTACGAGCCGTGGGCTGTGTTGGGTGACTTGGGGTGTGCCTTGCTGTGGAGTGGATGCTGTCAGGAAAGGGGCTGCTTTGATGACCATCCGTCTTTATCACTTTTGTCACTGAGGCGCGGTGGGGACAACAGGAATTGTGCCATCTCTGGCACTAGTCAGGCATGGGGCTTGGTGGCTGTCTCTCTGGGGCTTGTGCAGGGTGCTCCTGTTTTGTGTGTGCTCAGACATGATGGCAGAGTGCTTTTGTTTTTTGTCACACCCCATTGCGGTGGCAGGGTGACCCGTCTCTAGTTGGTGTCCTGTGAAACTCTATGCCAGGTGGGAGGGCTGCGTTTTCCTGTCTCGCTGGTAAGGAAACAGGCCCAGACTCATGACACTGATTGGGAGGCTGGAGGCTGGCCCGTCTCCCTTCTTTACCCAGAGCCACACCCGGCAGGATCTGGGAGTTTTGTTAGAAAAGGAAGAATCTAGGTCCTCCCTGGTGGCTTGACGGGTTAGGATGCAGCACTGCAGGCTGTCCGCAGCCGCTTCATTGCCAGTTCGATCCCGGCCAGGGAGTGACCCACATGTGCAGACCTCTCCTGACCCCCCCCCCCGCTGCTCCCCTCAGCAGTGT